GCTAACACGGTGAAACCCCGTCTCTACTAAAAAAATACAAAAAAACTAGCCGGGCCGAGGTGGCGGGCGCCTGTAGTCCCAGCTACACGGGAGGCTGAGGCAGGAGAATGGCGTGAACCTGGGAGGCGGAGCTTGCAGTGAGCCGAGATCCTGCCACTGCACTCCAGCCCGGGCGGCAGAGCGAGACTCCGTCTCAAAAAAAAAAAAAAAAAAAAAAAAGAATAGTCATAATACAAATTAGATATAGAGATGATCATGGACAATTATCAATCATTGTTATAAACATCATTAATCATTAGCTTTTAATATTACTCTTTATTGAATTACTAATATAACCTAGGGATAAACGGTGGGTATAGGGTCAGGTGCTGAAGGGACATTGTGAGAAGTGACTTAGAAGGCAAGAGGTGAGCCTTCTGTCACGCCCACATAAGGGTCGCTTGAAGGCTCCTTGGTCAAGCGGTAATGCCAGTGTCTGGGAAGATACCCATTACTTAGCAGACCGGGAAAGGGAGTCTCCTTTCCTTGGAGGAGTCAGGGCACACTCTGCTCCACCAGCTTCTTGTGGGAGGCTGGATATTATCCAGGCCTGCCTGCAGTCATCCGGAGGCCTAAACCCCTCCCTATGGCGCTGTGCTTCAATGGTCACGTTCCTTGTCCTCTTTCATGTTCCTCCTGTACTTCTGGTTCCTCTTTGAAGTCCGTAGTAGATAGCGGTAGAAGGAATCGTGAAAGTCTTAAAGTCTTTGATCTTTCTTATAAGCACATAGAAGAAAACGCTGACGTAGGCTGCCTTCTCTCTCTCTGCTTCGGCTACCTAAGAGGGAAGGGCCCCCTGTCCTGTGATCATGTGACTTGCTTCACCTTGTCAATCACTTAGAAGATTCGCCCTCCTTACCCTGCCCCCCTTGTCTTGTATGCAGTAAATATCAGCGCTCCCAGCCGTTCGGGGCCACTACCGGTCTCCGCGTTTTCATGGTAGTGGTCCCCCAGGCCCAGCTGTTTTCTCTTTATCTCTTTGTCTTGTGTCTTTATTTCTTACAATCTCTCGTCTTTGCACATGGGGAGAACACCTGCTAAGCCCCGTAGGGCTGGACCCTACACCACTGAATCCCAGCCTGGGTGACAGAGTAAGATTCTGTCTCAAAAAAAAAAAAAAGAAAGAAAATGAACTGGGTATGGTGGTGAGTGCCTGTAGTCCCAGTTATTCAGGAGGCTGAGGTGGGAGGATGGCTTGAGTCCAGGAGATTGAGGCTGCAGTTAGCCATGATTACAGCACTGCACTCCAGCCTGGGAAACAGAGTGAGACCCTGTTTAAAAAATATATATATATAAAATATATATATATAAAAAATATATATGTAGTATGTATATGGAAAGGTTAAAAAAAGGCAAGGATGAAACTTGTGCTTTTAAAGTGGAATTTAAAATAAACTATTTTCCCCCAGTTTATGTAGACAGATAAAGAAATAAACAGACGTAAATTTGTTTATGTGTGTGTATAAATGTGTGCCCACAGAGTGGACCCTGGTATAGAATGACCCTAATTGTATTGAATGTGCCTACCACGGAGATCCTGGTTTCTAAATATTATTCCTCCTTAAAAAGAAACCAAGTATTCTTGAAGAAATGGCAAATTCAGCGCCATGACAGGGAGAAACAAGATGAGCCTGAAATATCTTGTTGAGCCAGAAAGAAAGGAAGTGATTAAAGAATGACGGGGTTTGTCAAGATGACAAGAGGTCAGCAAGGGGCATCCACTGATCAAATCTGGGACAATTTGAGCATCAAAATAAATGACAGGAAAAAGCCAGTCATGGTGGCTCATGACTGTAGTCCCAGCTACTTGGGATGCTGAGAAGGGAGGATCGCTTGAGCCTGGGAGGTCGAGGCTGCTGTGAGCTATGATTGCGCCACTACACTCCAGCCTGGGTGACAGAGTGAGACCCTGTCTCAAAAAAAAAAAAAAAAAAAAAAGGCATGGTTTGGTCTTGCTTTTTCTGTTTTTGTTTTTGTGGTTTTTTTTTTTTTTTTTGAGCTGGAGTCTGTTTGTCACCCAGGCTGGAGTGCAGTGGCACAATCTCGGCTTATTGCAACCTCCGCCTCCTGGGTTCAAGCGATTCTCCTGTCTCGGCCTCTTGAGTAGCTGGGATTACAGGCGCCTGCCACCATGCCCAACTAATTTTTTGTAGCTTTTTTTTTTTTTTGAGACAGAATCTCACTCTATTGCCCAGCCTTGAGGGCAGTGGTGGCGCCATCTCGGCTTACTGCAACCTCCGCCTCTCGGGTTCAAGCGATTTTCCTGCCTCAGGCACTCAGGCACCCGAGTAGCTGGGGTTACAGTTGCGTGCCACCATGCTTGGCTACTTTTTAAAATTTGTAGTAGAGATGGGGTTTTACCGTGTTGGCCAGGCTGGTCTCGAACTCCTGGCCTCAAGTGATCCGCCCGTCTCAGTCTCCCAAAGTGCTGGGATTACAGGCGTGAGCCACCGTGCCTGGCCAATTTTTTCGTATTTTTAGTAGAGATAGGGTTTCACTATGTTGGCCAGGCTGGTCTCGAACTCCTGACCTCGTCATCTGCCCGCCTCGGCCTCCCAAAGTGTTGGGATTACAGGCGTGAACCACCGCACCCAGCCAAAAAAAGCATCTTAATGAAGTGACGGACATCTTAATGAAGTGATGGCTCCAACGGACATTTGGCTACAGTGAGAACATAGCATCAGTTTTGTGGTATTTCTGTCCAAAATGTGTCAGTCATGGTGGTCTCATTGTCAGGAAGAAGTGGACAAACCGAAATGGAAGGACAGTTTACAAAATCACTTCCCTGTAATCTCCGAAAATATCAAGGTCGTGAAACTCAAAGGCTGCAAATTGTTCTAGATTGAGGAAGAATAAAGACGTGACAATTAGGTATAGGGTTTCACAACTTACCAGTTTTTTTTTTTTTTTTCCTGAGACGGAGTCTCGCTCTGTCACTCAGTCTCGCTCTGTCACCCAGACTGGAGTGCAGTACAATCTCAGCTTACTGCAACCTCCACCTCCCGGGTTCAAGCGATTCTCCTGCCTCAGCCTACCGAATAGCTGGGATTACAGACGCGCACCATCACGCCCAGCTAATTTTTGTATTTTTAGTAGAGACAAGGTTTCACCATGTTGGCCAGGCTGGTCTTGAACTCCTGACCTTGTGATCTGCCCACTGCGGCCTCCCAAAGTGCTGGGATTACAGGTTTGAGCCACAGCGCCTGGCCAGTTTGTGGTGTGGTTTTTTTTTTTTTTTCACCTTAAAGGTTAAAATTTTTTGGACATTGGAGAGCAGTTTTAAATTTGTTTTCGTTGTTGTTTTTGTTTTGAGACAGAGTCTTGCTCTGTTGCCCAGGCTGGAGTGCAGTGGCCGGATCTCAGCTCACTGCAAGCTCCGTCTCCCGGGTTTACACCATTCTCCTGCCTCAGCCTCCTGAGTAGCCGGGACTACAGGCACCCGCCACCTCGCCCGGCTAGTGTTTTTGTATTTTTTTAGTAGAGACGGGGTTTCACTGTGTTAGCCAGGATGGTCTCGATCTCCTGACCTCGTGATCTACCCGCCTCCCAAAGTGCTGGGATTACAGGCTTGAGCCACCGCGCCCGGCCTGGTGCACCTCTCTTTAGGCAACTTGCTAGTCCCCTGCTCCTGGGAGGTCACCAAATTGGTGGTGAACTTAGTGCAAGTACAGTTACCTGCACTACAGGCATACTGCACTACAACCCGGAACTCCTGGGCTCCAGTGATCCTCCTGCCTCAGCCTCCCGAGTAGCTGGGACTACAGCCACCGCACCCGATGACATTTACTGTTTGGAGCTGGGTTGAGGAACTAATCCCTAATATGTAACTTTGCTGAAAAGTCCTTTGCTGAAATGGAGATTTCTTTTTATACATTTATTAATATGTTGTTGGTATACTCTGGGTACTTGTGGAGGTGGTGGTCACCTCAAGGTTGGTGGGGGGTACTGAGACCCCTGAGGGCACAGCAGACCTACCCATGCTCTTGGATCAGAATGCTGGGAATATTAGAGGTAGTATTCAAGATGTTAGGAGGGCCGGGTGCGTTGGGAGGCTGACACTGGAAGTCAGGAGTTCAAGACCAGCCTGGGCACCATAGAGAGACCCCATGTCTACAAAACATTTTAAAAACAATTGCTGGGCATGGTGGTGAATGCCTATAGTACCAGCTACTCGGAAGACTGAGGAGGGAGGATCCGTTGAGCCCAGGAGTTTGAGGCTGCAGTGAGCTATGACTGTGCCACTACACTCCAGCCTGGGCGACACACTGAGTCTAAGAACAAAAAATGTGGACTGGGCATGTGGGTCACGCTTGTAATCCCAGCACTTTGGGAGTTTGAGGCAGGCAGATCACATGAGGTCAGGAGTTTGAGACCAGCCTGGCCAACATGGCGAAACCCCATCTCTCCTAAAAAAAAAATCAAAATTATCTGGGTGTGGTGGCAGGCACCTGTAGTCCCAGCTACTTGGGAGACTGAGGCAGAAGAATCGTTTGAACTGGGAGGTGGAGGTTACAACCAGCTCAGATTTCACCACCGCACTCCAGCCTGGGTGACAGAGTGAAAGACCATCTCAATAACAACAACAACAAAAAATGTGGCTGGGCGCGGCGGCTCACTGCCTGGGTGACAGAGCAAGACTCTTGTCTCAAAAGGTCAATCGATCAATCAATCAATAAAATCTGAGGAGGAATTTGCCAGGAATACACTTTTTTCCTTCTGTTTTTCTGCAGGGGTAAGGTTATATTTATATGTGTGGATGATGCCATTCAAGGTACAAAGCTAACCCTTCAGGATGGGGGCTGAGGTACCTTCTGTCTCTCAGCTTTGGAGACATGATGCCTTCTTCCCTCCTCTCCTTCCCACTCTCTCTGTATGAGACAAGATCTTGCTCTGTTGCCTAGGCTGGAGTGCAGTGGTGTGATCCTATGGCTCACTGTGGCCTTGAACTGGGCTCAATAGATCCTCCTGCCTCGGCCTCCCTGAGTGCTGGGATGCCAGGCATGAGCCACCGTGCCTGGCTCCGCCCCTCCTTTCACAAGGATAGAGCACCCTCTTGTGGTGAAGGGAGGAAGAGGGTTGAGTGTGCTCTGGGCCTGGCGGAAGGTTTCTAGGGTGCAGCAGGGCCTCCTCCTCGGCCTGATGGGGGTGGGGCCTGCCAGGGAGTGCCTTGCTGGGAAGGGAGGGCAAAGGGCCATGTCTTTCGCTTGCCCCACCCAACTGCCAAGAGTCCCAGTCACCAGGCCACCCTGAGTCCCGGCCCTTGAGGGTAAGTGTTCTTCTGAACACAGCTGCCTCGTCCTTCCCCGATGACTAGGTGAGAATTCTTTGCTCTTTGGGGGTCCAAATACCCTGCCCACACTGCTTGCACTGAGGCAGGCAGTGGCCACAGCAGCCACCTCCTTTTCCTTTCCATAGGTCCACGAGACTGGGGCAGAAACAGGGGCAGGTACACAGCACCTCAGCCCCCTTCCCACCTGACAGCAGCATCAAAGCCGAGGCCAAGGCGGGAGGGCCCAGAGTGGGACACCTCTTCCAGACAAGCCTTGGTCGCCGCCTCCTCCTCTGTCACCCTGCGACACAGCCCAGAGTACCAGGTGGCTGGAGCACTGGGGGACACCAGGACAGAACCTTCCCTGGACCAAGTCCTCCAGGAGCGGGATGAAGCCATTGCCAAGTAAGGGGAAGCTGCTTTTGGGGGCCAGGAGGGGATTTGGGGCTCCCCTGCAGGGCCTTGTCCTGCTAATGGAGGAGCGGGGGGCTAGTCAGGCATTCTGGAAAGAAAGCCACACAAGCAGCCGCCCTGTCACTGAGGCCGGGGCTGTGGCCACACTTGTCCACCCCCAGGACCCCATAACCAGACCCACAGGGTCCGAGCCTCAGCTACTCTCTTTGCCACCCACAGGAAGCAGGCAGTGGAGGCAGAGCTGCAGAGGTGCGAAGCCAGGCTACGCACCATGGAGGCCCAGCTGCTGGAGGTCCTGGAGGAGAAACTGAGGCTGAGGCGGGAGCTGGAGGCCTGGGAGGTAGGTGGAATGCCGTCAGGGCCTGGCAGTTGTGGGGAAGAGGGCACAGGCTCAGCCTTGAACCTGCTCTCCTGTCCACAGGAGGACGTGCAGCAGCTGGTATGGCAGCAGGTCCAGCATCAGCTGCAGAGAGAGACTGAGGGTACTCGGGGACACCACATGGACCCTGGAGCTGCCAGGACCCCCCGGTCCAGATTCTTCCTGGGTCGGGGACGTTGGTGGTGACACAGACCTCAGCCCAGGACTTGGAGAGTAATGTCTTTATTCATTAAAGCCTGAGGTCTGACCACTCCTGTAAAACCTCGTGCCCACTCAGTGCCCGTCTGAGTCCTTCTGTGCCCAAATGTGGAGCAGGCTGCAGGGACTGGAAGCCTGGGTTTTGTGCCTCCTGTTTGTTTTGTTTTGTCTTTTTTGAGACAGAGTCTTGCTCTGTTGCCCAGGCTGGAGTGCAGTGGTGTGATCTCGGCTCACTGCAACCTCCGCCTCCTGGGTTCAAGTGATTCTCCTGCCTCAGCCTCCTGAGTAGCTGGGATTACAGGCGTGCACCACCACATCAGGCTAATTTTTGTACTTTTAGTAGAGATGGGGTTTCACCATGTTGGCCAGGCTACTCTCGAACTCCTGGTGTCAAGTGATCCTCCCACCTCAGCCTCCCAAAGTGCTGGAATTACAGGCATGAGCCACTGCGCCCAGCCCCCTTCTTGCCAGCAACTCTTAGACCAGGAAGCCTCGGATGGCATCTATGAAGTCCTGTGGGCGTTCAGCGTGGATCCAGTGGCCAGCGTTCGGCACCGTCTGTATCTGGGCCCGAGGGAAGAGTCGCATAATCTCAGGGTGGTGGCTGGGACTGTGCATTGCAGTGATGGCCATCGAAAATGGGTGAAAATGGGATAAGGAGGAGTGAAAGAGACAAGTGTAAGCAGAGTGGGGAGAAACGGAGAGAGCTGCATAAGTCCACATGCCCAGTGGTATTTCTGGCCTCTCAGCCACCCACCTTCCACACCCAAGGCCTTCCCTGGTAGGGTCCCCAGGCTAGGGCCTGGGCGAGTAAAGCATGCCCCTCCCACTACCCAAGCTGGCTTACTGCACGAATTGGGAGTTTCCACCGAGAAGAAAGAGTGTTGGTCCGAGGTAGGACTCCTGCCTCTGTGGGAAAGTCAAGAGCTTGTCTAGGTGCTGGGCCAGGGCATCCAAGTTCAACCTCCACACGAGACGCCCGTCTACCTCTACCAGGTTGGTGAGCAGGTGCTGCCGTACGGCCAGGTTCTGTGGAAGTGCAGCAGTTGGGGGGGTTCCTTGTGCGAACTGGGGGTACCATTCTTCCCTTGACAGGTCCCGGTCTACAATAGCATCCAGGGGGCTTGGGTGTATCACCTGGACGACAGAACTGAGCTGTTCATCTGCCAGTTTCCGGGCACGGGAGCGGGGCAGCCCATCTGGGATGTTGACGGTCCTCATGGCTGCCACATAGGCAGGAAAGTGGGAGGAACCTGTGCCTTCCACTGGGCTGATATCTACAGCAATCAGACGTTCCACCAGCTCTGGCTGTGGGAGAGAACAGAATTGGGACCAGTCTTAGGCAGACACAGTGAGTCTCAGGCACAGATCCTGGAGCCTGAATGTGGTCATCCAAGGATCATTTGAGTCCCAGGTTGCCTGCGGGGCACTCAGGGTATATACTGAATGGGAGGAGGCCCCAGACAGGGGCGGCTCACCCTCTGTAGTGCCAGCAGCATGGCTGTCCTCCCTCCCATGCTGTGGCCAACGACGACACAGGGCACCAGGCCCAGCTGGGGCAGGAGGTCCTGCAGGTCCTGGCTCATGATCTCGTAGCTCATGTCTGGGCTGTGGGGGCTGTTACCGTGGTTACGAGCATCCACCGTCAGCACCTGGGGAGTGGGGTGAGACAGAGCTGCGCTGGTATCCCCATTCTAGGGTAGACAGCCAAAGGCCTTGTAGGGACAGCAGGTCAAGGGTGTGGAGAGCCTGGGGATACACCCTGCAGAGGGGAAGGGCCCAGATGGTGGGAGGGCCCAGTTTCCAGACCTAGAAGGCCCAGATGAAGAATCTGGGGCCACTCTGCCAGAGAAGAGCAGGCCCCAGGGTTGTGACCACGTCTCTGAAGGGCTGGCCAGGCTGGGGGGTAATCCCGGAGAATGCCAGGAACGAGACTCCAGGAATTTCCAACAGTAGGAGCACAGAAGAACGGGCTGCCATAAGAGGTGGTGAGCTCCAGGTCATCCCTAGGAAACAAGCAGGCCCCTTCATGGAAAGGGTGCAGGCGCCTAGTCATTGGCCAGCGCCGATGGAGATCTACAATATGAATTAATGAAGATGGCAACGTGAGGGAACAAACGGGGTTGCCGTTCAGGGTCCATACTCAGCGTGAGGAGCGGGACCCCGAGAAGCGGGACGCCCCAGCCCCGCCTCCTCCCAGGCCCCGCCCACTCGGAAGCGCACCCTACGTCCTGTCTGCTGGGCGAAGGCCTTGGCGATGGAGTTGAAGTTAGTTTTGCAGCCGAAGAGCCCGTGCAGAAAAATGACGGCCGGGAGGGCTGCCTCCCCGTCCAGAAGGCTGTAGGAAAGCGGAAGCGGCCTGGCAGGGGAAGGATCCGGGTTAGGGTCTGAACCGGCGGAGGCGGGGAAAGGGGTAGGGGAAAGGGCTTTGGGGGAGAGGCCTGGGAGGCGACGGACCCAAGGGGAGGATATGGGGCCGTCGGGGCCCGGCAGGAAAAGGACAGGGCGTCTCCCGCCCGGTGCCCCTAACTGACCTCGGCTCGGCCTCCCCTCGGCCGCCGCTGCTGCTGGGTGCGACAGGCACCCTCGCGAAGCTAGGACTGTGCGGGCCGAGCCCCTCAAGGGGGAGCCTCCAGGCTCGGGTACAGCGGAGCATGCTTGCAAGCACGTTGTCCGGCTTGCACCTCGCAAGGTACGGCCTAACCACGCTCCTTTTTCCGCTCTCGCTCGGAGCCCCGCCCAGTTCCGTCTTGAGCCCCGCCCAGTTCCGACTTGAGCCACGCCCTCTCCCCGCCCCCATCGCGGATTCTCCGCCCTCGGTCACGTTTCCTTACGTAATCCCCGAGAACGGTCCGGCCCCGCCTCCATCCCCTCCCCTTACGCCATTACGTAATCCCCGCAGGCCTTGCGCCGGTCGCCCTGAGCGCCGCACCTGGCCACGCCCTAGGCGGGGCCACCCAAGGTGCTTGCCCCGCCCCTCGCGAAGCCCCGCCCAGCATAGAATTTGCGCTGGGAGTCGGGACCCTCCCGCCCCCGCCCTAAGATCTGGGAATTCGGTCTGCGCCGCTCTGCGCGTGCTCGGTTCTGTGCTGCAGCTTGGGCCTCGGTTCCCGCCCCGCACCTGTCGTCGCTCACTGACCTGGGTGGCTGCCATCGTTTCTGTGCCGCCGGCGGGGGCGAGCGGCGCCAGTGTGGCTCTGGGCGGCGGAGCGCCAGTGTGGTGGCGCCGTGCTCCACTGCTGGGGGCCCGGGCAGGCTGGGCGGAGCACAGGCACCCATCCATTCTGGAGTAGTCGATCTAGAAGGAGCTCGGGGGCACTCTAGAGCTCTCCCCCAAGCCCCTCTGTCCCCTTTACATTTGGGGGAGCCTCTCCCACTCTGATCCCGCCTGCTTTTCCGCCCGTACTCTCCGTTCTCATACTCCCCTATCGGGCACCCTGCCTTTCAAGGTCTTCTCCATACCCCACCTCCTCCTGCTGGGGTGCTGTCTGTCTTCCAGATAGCCAGTTGCCCGAGTCCTATACTTTTTTTTTGGTGGGGGGTCTTACCCTCGCCCAGGCCGGAGTGCAGTGACGCGACCGTAGCTCACTGCAGCCTCGACCTCCTGTGCTCAAACGATCCTCCCGCCTTTTCCTCCCGAGAATCTGGGACTACAGGCGCAGACTAATTTTAACTTTTTTTTTCTTTCTTTCTTTCAGAATCATGGTTAAATTTTTTTTTTTAGGCCGGGCGTGGTGGCTCACGCCTGTAATCCCAGCACTTTGGGAGGCTGAAGCTGGTGGATCACCTGAGGTGAGGAGTTCAAGACCACCCTGGCCAACATGGCGAAACCACGTCTCTACTAAAAATACGTAAATTAGCTGGGCATGGTGTCAGGTGCCTGTAATCTCAGCTACTCGGGAGGCTGAGGCAGGAGAATCGCTTGAACTCAGGAGGAGGAGGTTGCAGTGGGCTGAAATTGCGCCACTGCACGCCAGCCTCGGGAATGGAGACAGACTCCGTTTCAAAAAAAAAAAAAATTGCCAGGCCTGGTGGCACGGCCCTGTAAGTTCCAGCTCCTTGGGAGGCTAAGGCAGGAGAATCCTGTGAACTTGGGAGATGGAGGTTGCAGTGAGCCAAGATCTTGCCACTGCATTCCAGCTTCTGTAACAGAGCGAGACTCCATCTCAAAAAAAAAATTTTTTTTTTAAATAGAACCAGGGTCTTGCTATGTTGCCCAGGCTGGTCTCGAACTCCTGAGCTCAAAGTGCTGAGATTACAGGCATGAGCCACCACACCTGGCCCAACAAAATTTTTTTTAGAGAAGGGTCTTGCCACCTTGCTCAAGCTGGTCTCCAGCTCCTGGCCTCAAGCAACCCTCCCATCTCAGGTATATGGCTTTTATTTTATTTTTTCTGAGACAGGGTTTCACTGTGTCACCCCAGGCTGGAGTACAGTGGCACAATCATGGCTCATTGCAATCTCTTCCTCCCGGGCCCAAGCAATCTTCCTGCCTCAGCCTCCCGAATATCTTGGGACCACAGATGTGTACTATCATGTCTGGCTAATTTTTTTCTGTTTTGTAGAGATAGGGTCTTGCTATGTTCTAGGCATAGCAAGGGGACAGTTTCAGGCTGGTCTGGAACTCGCTCCTTGACTCAAGTGATCCTCCCCGCCTCAGCCCCCTGAGCAGATGGAACTACAGGTGTGCGCCACCATGCCTGGCCTCGGCTATAAGCTCTTTTGTTTTTGATTTTTTGTTTGTTTTTGTTTTTTTTTTTTTGAGATGGAGTTACTTGCTCTGTCGCCCAGGCTGGAGTGTAGTGGCCAGATCTCGCTCACTACAAGCTCCGCCCCGGGGTTCAGCCATTCTCCTGCCTCAGCCTCTCGAGTAGCTGGGACTACAGGCCCCCGCCACCACGCCCAGCCTAATTTTTTTTGTATTTTTAGTAGAGACGGGGTTCACCGTGTTACGCCAGGATGGTCTCGATCTCCTGACCTCGTGATCCGCCCGTCTCGGCCTCCCAGCTGGGATTACAGGCTTGAGCCACTGCACCCTGGCCCAGCTATAGGCCTTTTAAGGCCTTGTATAACTGCTGCCTCCTCAAGTCTTCCCCAGATTTTCCGAGTTAAACTATCTCTTTGATCGAACGTTCTCGAAAGCATTTCTCAGAGGCTACTGTGTAGTATTATAGAGGCGGCCTCCCTGTATGCGTCCACAGCAGGAGCCATGTCTTTGTTCATCTGGTGCAAAGTAGTGATAGTCATCAGAGAGCTTCAGGGCGCTGGGAAATGCTTATGTGAAAGTTCTGCAGGTGGCTGGGTTATGTGGCTCCTGGAGATGACACCTGGGCCAGCTAGTCTTTATACTGGCCCCTCCCACCTCCTTAGGGCGGTCCGAGGACCCACAGGATGAGTTCCTAACTCTTTTTAAAATAATTAATTATATTAATTATTATTATTTTTTTGAGACGGATTTGCTCTTGTTGCCCAGGCTGGAGTGCGGGGTGTGATCTCAGCTCACTGCAACCTCTACCCTCCTGGGTTCAAGTGATTCTCCTGCTCAGCCTCCCAAGTAGCAGGATTACAGGCATGCGCGCCACTATGCCCGGCTAATTTTGTTATTTTTAGTAGAAGACTCGAGT